TCATAGGTAAATTTTACGGGAAAAAAACTCCCATAAACAAAAAATTAAACTCTAGTGATTAAGTTTGCTTTATATGCTGGTACTGTTCGCAATTTGGAAGCTACTCTCTGTTTATTATAGGAATGAACAAATGAATGACTATATTGAGAATTATGAAAGTTAAGTTTCCCACTACTGAATAAAGGAATTACAAATGTAGAAAGACAAAGACTAGAATTTATTCTGTGGTATTTCATTGTAATGGAATTGGATTTATTAGTATGAAACTGCATTTCTGATTCCATTTAAAACTTTGTCATTGCCTATTCTTTCTCATTTTTTGCCTCCTCCTCCTTTCTTCTTATCCTTCTTCCTCTCTCTGCAGATGTATTACACACACACACACACACACACACACACACACACCCCAACACATATGCATATTTCCTAGCTCTGTCTGTTTTGAAGGCCAATAAAGCATTGTAATACCAAAGCAACGAAGCGTGAGTACATCCAGCACCTATATCTTGGTTTGTAAATACCATTACCCAGTTAAAGAAGCTAACGAGTTAAAGAAGCTCAACCTTTCTGGAGAATACACATATTGAGAATCTAATCATGAGGAAATAGCCATATCCAAAATGAGGAACATTCTATACAATAAATACCCATTCTCCTTCAAAATGGCAATGTTCATAAAGTTTTTTTTTTAAAGTTTGGAAAGTGTTTTGGGTTAAAGGAGCCTAGCAAAGTGCAATTGTAATACTGGATTAAATTCAGCATGAGAAAATAAAATTGCCTATAAAGCACTACACTGAGATAACCGAAAAAATTTGTCTGTGACTTGACTAATGGTAATGTGTCTATGTTAAATTTTCCAATTTTGAAAACTGTACTGTGGTTATGTAAGATAATGTTCTTAAGAAATATACTGAAGTGGCCAGGCACCATGGCTCACACTTGTAATCCCAGCACTTTGGGAGGCCAAGGCGGGTGAATCACCTGAGGTCAAGAGTTTGAGACCAGCCTGACCAATATGGTGAAACCCCGTCTCTACTAAAAGTACAAAATTACCCGAGTGTGGTGGCACATGCCTGTAATCCCAGCTATTCAGGAGGCAGAGGCAGGAGAATCGCTTGAACCCAGGAGGTGGAGATTGCAGTGAGCTGAGATTGCACCATTCCACTCCAGCCCGGGCAACAAGGGCAAAACTCTGTCTCAAAAAAAAAGAAAAAAGAAAAAAGAAATACACCGAAGTATTTAGGAATAAAAGGCAATGACTCTATATTACTCTGAAGAGGTTCAGAAAATATGGATACATAAATAAACACTTAGTAAGAGAATAATAAATCAATGGGACAAAATATAAACAATTGGTGAATCTGAGTAAAAAGATAAGGGAGTTCCTAACATGATTCTTACAACATGTCTGAAAGTTTAAAACTATTGCAAAATTAAAAGTTGCATATATATGTACATATATACGTATATATATGTATATATGTATATATATACATATATATATGTATATATATGTGTGTATATATATATATATATATATATACACACACACACATAAATCTATGGTGCCAAGATTACATTTTATGGTAATAATCACATGGAGATAAAGAAAACAGAAAGATGTAAGTGTTATTTCCATTAAAAAACAATAAGTAGATAAGATTCAAGGTCAACAGCTGAGACAAATCTGGTTTTTGCATTCTGCTTCATTGCTGTAGAAAGTAAACAAGAACAGAAGACCAGAATTTTGTTTCCTGACTGTAAAACTTTATCACTTGTCATTTTTTCTGATTTGCTTTCCAGTCTCTCATGTCCAGAATTCTCTAAATCATTGATTCCAACTTGATCACTCTCCACAAATGGCCTCAGCATTAAAGAATGATCTCTTTTTATAAAACTTCAACAGAAGGTAATCAAATACAGTATTTATCATAGCAAAACAGTGGGAACATGGGAAAATGCCTTTCCAGCTGGTTCTCATGTTTTCCTGAGCGGCTTTGGATATTGCAGCCTAAATAATTTTAGAAAAAATTCTCAGCTCAAATTAGTAAGTAGACGGCTGAAAGCTTATTTTATTTGCAAGGAGACACTATAATTGGACTTTGAGAAAGGGAAAAAAAGGCATGATTACATTGCTGTGGTGTTGAATTGCAGAGAAGAGGGATGGACTTAAATTTATAATGTGGGTTGAACTTTTCCCATTTGTAGAGACCTCTATTGTGGAAATAAAAAGGTTGTATGTAGTTTTTGTTTACTTCTCTCACCAATTCTGGGTTCTCCAATCCCAAATAATTTTTTTCCCAAAGCTGTAATTACTGAGATTACAAATAATGTGAAGCATTGCAGCTGGTCCCTGGTCCTGGCATAATTCCAACACATAATCACCTGTCGTGTGCACTAATTCCTGCCATGATTAAGCCCCTTTATTCGCAGTAGGGTCTGACAGCTCTATTGTTTAAAATGTCACCCATTAATAGAACAGGCATGGGCTTGTCTGTACTTGGACTAGTTTCCTTGCATATTTACCATGTCAGCTTCAGCTAAGCTGTTGTACTGTGTATGTGATGAGTGATCACTTTTCCTGAAGCCTGATATTGTCAATAAAAGACTAATGATATGTGAGACCACAGCTTAGCTCGATATAAACATGGATTCGAACAAAGCCTTCTAGAAAACATTGGAAAGAGAATTTAATGGGCTCCATACTAGAGGAGTAGACACAGAATTGTTTCGGTATCTTTTAAGACAAAAGGGCCACACTTACACATAAAAATAATAACGCTTTTCCTTGTTGTGGGAAAACAAACTTCTGCCTGAATCTGAAAAATTACCATTTGAAAATATATGTACAATATATCTTTAATAGATTACTTTTAGTGAAGGGAATATTTTCAACATCTTTTTGTTATTTTTCTAAAACTAAGCTCTAAATACTTGTTAAATGTGACAAATCTTAAATAGAAACTGCTTACAGGGATACAGAGCCTACCTTCTATAGGTGACCTTGAAAATGGTAAGTTACAACCACTAATTTTGTCGTTCGAACTAAAAATTTTGTGCAATCCTAAAAGGTTCCATTGAGAAAAATTGGCACAGTCCTAAATTGACCCAAATGGAGATGCCAGAAGGATAAGGAAGGCTTTGTGTTAAGCTCTATCTCCCAACTATATCTTATTCAATGCTCAAGTTCTATCACCCAGCTATATCTTATTCAAATTCATGCATGCCTTGCTAATATCTTTCACCTGCTACTGTTAGCATTTGTGGTTGCAGCAAGATTCCTACAGTTCTTAATCAAATAGCAGCCTCCTTCTGTTTCTGTAACCCACAAAGACCATGTGATCACGTCTGCACTCATTTCCATTGTCTACTGTTTGCCTAAAGTTTCATCACAGACCGCAGCAAGTTACAGTGATTGTGCAGAAAGTCGTCCGAGAAGAGTTTCTTTCTCATATTTATCTGGTCCACCAGCTGCAAATGTCGATGACAGATAGATGGTACTGACCTCCCAACTCCTACATTTTCAGCATGTACCCAGAGGGAGGGCCTTTCTGATTCCTGACTCAAGACCTTCACTCACATATATTATTTTATTGCCAAGTCCTAGCCCTTCCCTTACAAACACTGAAGATTTTATTCCTAATGGATCAAAGAGCTTGAAAGGCCAGTCAAAAAGCTATCACCTCAACCAATACGAGATAAAGATATATGCTTTTTAAAAGAAAACACCTTGTCCCTTGGTCAACCTCTCACTGATCTAGAGGCAAAAAGCAGACAGTCTTTAGGAGGTATAAATAGAGAAGAATTGATACTTTGGGAAAAAGATTTTAAGAGTGGAGGATTCTAAACATAGTTTCAGAATTCTGCCTTTCTATCAGCACATTATAAAGCCATTTGACATGTTGTTTGTGCTTTCATTCCAAGAAGCACGTAGATGAATGGGCGTAGAGAGAGCCAGGCATCAAGCCAATGTATTGTGTAGTGGCCCTGTCCTGGGCAAATTTTCCCCTTTCCCTCCTCCTCCTTCCCTAAATCCCAACATGCTGCCAATAAACAACTCTAGCCAGGACAGATAAATTTCACCACTTGTAAAATTAGGCAAATATGTAGATAGCAGAGCAAATGGTTACTTAGACTGTGCCATGTTTCTAAAAATAAAAACCGTAACTATTACCCTTGAAACTGCTTGTTAAAATGTCTAAAACTCTTTCAAAAATAATAGTTAGAGATGCTATTGAATCATCAATTATTTTCTTAACGCAACATGTTAATTGCCATAAAACCTCTCCCATAGACATATTCAGTGTGTTACAGATGTGATTCACCTTTACACAATTTCTGAAAAAATACACACAAATCGAATTTTGTAAATTGTAGAACATTTTAAATACGTGTGGGAAGTTTTTGATCTGAAAAAAAAAAAAAAAAACCGAGAGTCCATTTGAAAGGGAGAATGAGAATTTAATATTATAAATGAAAATTGCCTACAATAAATAAAAATTTATTCTACTTTATTGGCTCAGTATTTTTAATATCCCTACTCCTTAGAATTTCTTAAAGCTAGTTATATCTATACAGAATAACATAAGCTTATGAGGATGCTTGTATATATTACATACATGTATAATGGTTGCTTATTAGAATCTCATAATAAAGTACAACAATATTTTCCAAATCAGGTCATATTTCCCCATACAGAGCAACTAAACATGCCACATGAGCCTGTTAGAAAAGTCTGATACATCTTTAGGCAGTATAATCATCTTTGAAAGCATGGGATCTGGAGTTAGGCAAAGATATGTTTGATTCCTGTCACTTTCAGTGGCCTTGGGAAAGTTGTTCATGCATTCTAAGACTCAGTTTCCTCAACTGCAATGTACATTGCAGAACATTTTAAATGTTCTGCAATGTGGGGAATAATAGCAGTTCTATGTTCAGAAATCCATGGCCTATAAAAACACTTTGCATAGGGCAAATTGATCAAGACTGTAACGATACAGTGTCAGTCGGTTCTGGCTGAGAGAATGCTGTGTAACAGCTTCTAAATCTCAGGGACTTGCAAAAACAAAGGGCATTTGTTGCTTAAGTTCCGTATCAGGAGCTGGTTGGCTGTAACTCTGTGGTTCTGAGGCTGTGCTGCAGGAAGCAGGTGGACAATAAGGCTGCTCTGTCTGCTGATTCCTGGAGTCAGGCTGAAGCAATGGTCCCTATTTGATATGTGTTGTCCTCATGAAGGAGGGCAGAAACACAAGAATAGTGGTGGAAATGCATGGTGCCCCTTAAAGATTCTGCTCAAACTGCCACCCCATCATTTCTCACATTACATTTGACCCGCATGAGTCATATGGCTAAGCTCAAAGTCAACGGAGCAGGGATACGCACTCCCTATCAGAAAGAAGGCAAGTCGTATGATAAAGCATATGCATAGATCTTTTATTTATCCATACACTTCATCCATATATAAAGGAAGCAGTGAAGAGTTATTATGGTAATGCAATTTAATACAGATACCAAGCGACTAAAACAGCTCTATGTAGTTGGCAATTAAAGAGGGAAATTTGCTGAAAGTCCATATTGGGGCATCCCATATGATCAAAGAAAAGGACAGGGCATACAATCCAACTGAATCATGGACAGGGCAAACACATACGTGGACTTCAAGAACGCTGAGAAACAAAGTTTTGACACAGCTAGAACTCTGTATTTCTCTCATACCTACTAGTGCTGGCTTCATATTTTTTCTCCTGCCGAAGATTGGATTCCATCACAAGACAGAAAACATGGCTGCCTTTGGTCCCCACATCTCACGTTCTGCGGCTCTCCCCACTGGAGAGCAATTCCCTCCCTTTACAAGTCCTGGTTACAAAATTTCTGGAGAAGAATACTGATTGAATCAGACGTCTCTGTTAAGTCCAACCTGAATCAGACGTCCCATCAACTACTTAGCTGAGCTGGGGTCATTGTCCACAGGAGCACATGATGGAAAGGACCGGTCTGGGAAGAAAACAAGTGGCCAGTACATCAGGACATAGTGCATGTATGTGTTCAAGAGTTAGAAATTATTTCTACAGCTGGTACTATTTAACTTTATACATTTTACATATATTTTTATGTAGCACAACCGCTCTATTGGGAACATTTCAGTGAAACAAGTTTAAGTTTCCATATATAATTTTGATTGGCCTTTGGAGCCTGAATTGACTAATTGAGAAGCAGCCTGGCTTCACAGAAAGAATACCCAATGGGCAGGCAGAGAGGAGATTTTAGCAAACAGTGCTGGTTCTGCACTAACTTGCTGGGTTACTATGAGTACATTGCTTGAACTTGCTAATCTCTTACTTTCTCTGGCATAAAGTCCACATTAGCTAGCCCCACCATATTTTGTAAATTGCAGAACATTTTAAATATGCATGCACTATCTTTACAGACTTACTGTCTTCCTTCTTCACCTACCTCCCCCATCTCAAGTCTTACGTTCCAGTCTCAACTGTACCTCTTAGTCCTAGACAACAAATATTTGTCTGTCAGGCTTTTTGTTGGTTTCTCTAGATTTTTATACCTGGCTTCATTCCAAAAGGAGGCAGTAGAAATCTGAACAGGGACTTGCTTCTGCAGAAAATCAGGTCAGGATCCACGTCTGTGCTTGCAGTTGTGTCTCTGTCCAGCTGCTTGACCTTGGCCTTGGCTTTGGACCCTTAGTGTCTAGGCTGCTGTCTGAGTCTTCAGCTCCTTTCAACCACTCTGGTGCTTCCTGTGTTTCTCAGTCTCCTCTCGGTCCTACAGTCATGCTTGAAGGTAGGGGGAAGTTTCTAAAATGAAACACATATTGAACCTAAGCAGAGGGGCAGTTCAAAGTGAAGGCTTGGCTGGGCATGGTGGCTCACACCTGTAACCCCAGCACTTTCAGAGGCAGAGGTGGGAGGATCATTTGGGCCTGGACAACCTGGTTAGACTCCATCTTCTCACAATATAAAAAAAAAAAATTAGCTGGGCATTGTGGCATATACTTATGGTCCCAGCTAGTCAGGAGACTGAGGCAGGAGGATTGTTTGAGCTCCAGAGTTCGAGGCTGTACTGAACCATGATTGCACCACTGTGCTCCAGCCTGGGCAACAGAGCACAACCCTGTCTCAAAAATATATATCTATATATCTATATATATATATATTTCACTATATATATATATATATAGTGAAGGCGTGGAAGAAGATTGCCTGGTTCCAAGTCTTGGTGTAACCAATTATCATCTATGTGGACTGGGTTCAAGTTGTTTACCAGACTGTCAATGTCTTCATCTGTAAATAGGAATAATGGAGTTCTTGTGAAGGTTAAATGAGTTAATACAAAGTGCTAGACCAGTAATAGCAAATGCTCAGTAAATGTTAAGGCTATTTTTAATTGGTCTAGGTTGATGTATACTGAAAGTGTGTATCCATAAATTATGTATAGCATAATTTATGTACGCACACACAAAAAACATACACACACACACCCACACACACAAAAGAATTGTCCTTCTTTCACAAAGGAGAAGGATCACAATAAGATGACTTTGTGCTTGTATTACTACAGAATTTCCTGGGCCACATTTCATTTTTCCAGCAGCAAACAGGACATAAAAGGCACATGTAGATGATTCTTCTGCTGTTGTTACAGATGGCTTCTCTACAGTCCACCAGTAGGGACCTTCTGGGTTCATCCTGGAGTATGTACAATGCCATTTTCTCTGCTGTGCAATGACTTGAGGAGAATTTATGAGTCTACAAAACCACTCTCTGATTTGGTGCCTCATGGTGAGGAGATCAGAGGAAGAGCACTGGAGTTTCATGCTCTCCTTCACAACCTTCATGCTCACCTTCAGATGAACTAGCTTAAGGCTGTCACAGAATTTTCAAATGACTATCTATTTGACTCCACTGAAGTAATTTTGAAATGATTATTTTTAACTAAGTACATAAGCAGTAGATAAACATGGGAAAATTTCTGAGGTTGTTATAGGAAGTGAGTGTTTTACATTTCTGACTTCTCATTATTTAGACAAAGCTCTATTTCAATGGCATTCTCTAAGAAAAAAAAAATAGTTTTTCAGTGGCAAAGACCACATATTAAATCAATTTCTGCAGCCATGCATCTTCATGTTACTTGATGACAATGTCAGTGGTTATTCCAGATTATCCACATACTTTATATTTCAGATATTGAAATACAGAAATTGCCGTAAATAAGACAGAACACAGAGGGTAGCTGTGTACCATTTTACTATGTATATGGGCTTCAGAATAATTCCAAAATGGGCATAAATCCTGGAGCTTAGACTTAAAATTATCTTTACTTACTTTTGGGAGAAGACATGTTTTTGCAATTTTGATGATAATTCTTAACATTTTTGGAAATTTTTAGGGTACTTCAAATAGGATGATACAATGAATGTCTTGACATATGATAAGTATGTCTTAAACACATGAACTTTTTTACTCAATCATAATGCAGATACTCTCTCATCGCCTATTGAATTTTCTATAGTAAAATTCACTCTTTTTGGTGTACAGTTCAATGAGTTTTCACAAATGCATAAATTTTTGTAACCACCACCATAACACAGTTACACCATTATTAAAAAATTCATCTTACCACCACATTGTAGTGAAAACCCTCTCTCTAATTGCTACTGAGCTATTCTGCATCTCTATAATTTTGCCTTTGCAAACATGTTGTATATTCTTGAGTATATTACATTGATTGGGTCTACTGCAATTTGTTTATCCACAGACCAGCTGAAGGACATTTAAACTGTTTCCAGTTTGGGGGGATTATAAGTAAATCCTCACATACAGATATTTATGTGAATATTTTCATTTATTTATGCATCCTGCTTTTGGCGTCATGTCTAAGAACACTTTGTCTAATGAAAGGTCACAAAGATTTCTCCCTCCATTGTCTTCTGAAAGTTTCATAGTTTTACATTTTGCATTTAAGTCAATGATTCATTTTGAGTTAATTTTGTATAAGCTCTAGGATATAGTTCTAGGTTACTTTAATGCCTAAGAATAGGATTGCTGAATTAATATATTCTCATGAAATTGAATATGTTAATAAGAAATGTCCAAACTATTTTCCATAGCAGCTACACCATTTTGCATTCCTCCCAGAAATTTACTGGTTTACCAGTCGCCCTGCACACTCACCAGCATTTATATTGCCACTATTTATTATTGTAGCTATTTCTGTACTTGTGTAGTGCTACATCATTGTGGTTTTAATTTGCAAGTTACTGAGGATTAAATAACATTAAAGATATTTTATGTGCTTATTTGTCTATCCTATGTTTTCTCTGGTGAACTGTCTTTTTAAATCATTTGTTTATTTCTTTAATGAACTAGACTTTTTCATATTGATGAGTTTTGAAAGTCCCTATATATTCTGGATATGCATGCTTTATCAGATATGTGATTTAGATACATTGTCTCACAGTCTGTAACCTGTCTCTTTCATTCTCTTAAGAGTGTCTTTCACAGAGCCAAGAACTTTCATTTGAATGATGTCCAGCTTATCAAGTTTTTCTTTTATGCATCCTGCTTATGGTGTCATATCTAAGAACACTTTGTCTAATCCAAGATCACAAAAGTTTCTCCCTCTACTGTCTCCTGAAAGTTTTATAGTTTCACATTTTGCATTTAGGGCTATGATTCATTTTGAGTTAATTTTTGTATATGCTCCAGGATGTAATTCTAGGTTACTTTTATGCCTATGGATGTTCAATTGTTTTGGCACAATTTGTTGGAAAATCTTTTTCTAGTGAAATGTCTTGGCACCCTTGCAAAAATCAATTAACCACATTTGTGTAGATATGTCTTTGGACTTTTTATTCTGTTCTATTGTTCTGTCTATCCTTTCACCAAACCATGTTATTTTGATTACTATAGCTTTAGAATAAGTCTTGAAATAGGGCAGCATGTATCCTTCAATTTGATTGTTCTTTGTCAAAATTGTTTTGGTTATTCCAATACCTTTGGATTTCTAAATAAATTTTAGACTCAGTTCATAAATATGAACAAGGAATCCTTTTGGGATTCTGACTAGAGTTACATTGAATCAATAGATCATTTGGGGAAAAATTGGCATGCTAATATTGTTTGTTTCAATACACAAACGTTATATCTCTTCATTTATTTAGATTTTCATCTATCTCTTTCATCAGTACTTTGTAGTTTTCAGAATATAAATACGGTATATATTTTATTAGATTTATACCTAAATGTTACATTTTTTAATAAAATTGTAAATAATACTACTTTTTCAAATTTGATTTCCAGTTATTCCTGTTAATATGTAGAAACATGATTGTTTGTTTTTTTTTTCTCATTAAACTTTTTTTAATGGGTCTCAAAATTCTGTGACAAATTTTTGGTCAAGTTGTTTCCATTAAAAAGTACTGATTTTAAAAACTAATAACTTAAAACTGCCACAAGCAAAAAAGAAAACCAAAGTGGTCCACAAAACATTCTCCTTTCCTTCTGAAGGTTTTACGATGCATTGTTATCATTAACCAGTCTTTTACTACTAAACTTAAATGGCCAATTGAAACAAACAGTTCTGAGACCGTTCTTCCTCCACTACTGATTAAGACTGAGGTGGCAGGTATTAGGGATAATATTCATTTAGCCTTCTGAGTTTTCTGGGCAGACTTGGTGACCTTGCCAGCTCCAGCAGCCTTCTTGTCCACTGCTTTGATGACACCCACGGCAACTGTCTGTCTCATATCACGAACAGCAAAGCGACCGAGAGGTGGATAATCTGAGAAGCTCTCAACACACATGGGCTTGCCAGGAACCATATCAACAATGGCAGCATCACCAGACTTCAGGAATTTAGGGCCATCTTCCAGCTTTTTACCAGAACGGCGATCAATCTTTTCCTTCAGCTCAGCAAACTTGCAGGCAATGTGAGCTGTGTGGCAATCCAGTACAGGGGCATAGCCAGCACTGATTTGGCCTGGATGGTTCAGGATAATCACCTGAGCAGTGAAGCCAGCTGCTTCCATTGGTGGGTCGTTCTTGCTGTCACCAGCAACGTTGCCACGACGAACATCCTTGACAGACACGTTCTTGACATTGAAGCCCACATTGTCCCCAGGAAGAGCTTCACTCAAAGCTTCATGGTGCATTTCAACAGATTTCACTTCAGTTGTAACGTTGACTGGAGCAAAGGTGACCACCATACCAGGTTTGAGAACACCAGTCTCCACTCGGCCAACAGGAACAGTACCAATACCACCAATTTTATAGACATCCTGGAGAGGCAGGCGCAAGGGCTTATCAGTTGGACGACTTGGTGGTAGGATGCAGTCAAGTGCCTCAAGCAGTGTGGTCCCACTGGCATTGCCATCCTTACGGGTGACTTTCCAACCCTTGAACCAAGGCATGTTAGCACTTGGCTCCAGCATGTTGTCACCATTCCAACCAGAAATTGGTACAAATGCTACTGTGTCGGGGTTGTAGCCAATTTTCTTAATATAAGTGCTGACTTCCTTAACGATTTCCTCGTATCTCTTCTGGCTGTAGGGTGGCTCAGTGGAATCCATTTTGTTAACACCAACAATAAGTTGTTTCACACCTAGTGTGTAAGCCAGGAGGGCATGCTCTTGGGTCTGCCCGTTCTTGGAGATACCAGCTTCAAATTCACCAACACCAGCAGCGACAATCAGGACAGCACAGTCAGCCTGAGATGTCCCTGTAATCATGTTTTTGATGAAGTCTCTGTGTCCTGGGGCATCAATGATAGTCACGTA